TACGTTTTTCTAGTATTTGTAGTTCCAAGACTCTTTTCAGGTAACTTAGGGAAAAGTTTAACAAAATGGATAGAAAACCAGATTTCAGCTCAGAGTCAAACCGTCAGAAGTTCACCCCTGATTGAAGGCCTTCTCACCGTCTGATCCAGCTCAAATATGGAGACCTTAAAGATGGAAGTGTCAGCTTCCCAGTGCACTTTACAGCTTGGCAATCCAACGGTTCAATCAAAAGATATGCGAAGAGAAAGATGTCCCGTAAACCAGCCGGCAAGCACTTCCACCCGCGGCCAAACACTCATTTCCCACGGTCAAAAGCATCCCGACCGCGGCAAACTACTCATTCCCCACGGTCAGAGCACTCCCGACCGCGGCCATCAACCTCCGAGCCCAAAAAGCCCATTTCTGAAGCCTACATTTGGAGAAACCCTAAGTGACGTCCAGAGAGGTCTTGAGCACTATAAATACATGTCTTAGGAACCCTAAACGGGAGATATCGTGTAACCGAATACCATCTATCATTACTTCATACTTTTATTGTTTTTGCTTTAGCCTTTAGGGAGAGAGAGATTTGTTCTCTTGAACCCTTGTTCTTTCTTTTTCAATTTCGGTTTCTATTCTACTTATTAATACTATGTTTTTGATTTCGTTCATTATGTCTGAGTAGTTTTATTGTTGGGATTAAAGGATTTTCGACGGGGATTTATATGTTCGATGAGGATTCCATGAGCTTTTGAGCCGAATCTTAGAACTTTTTCTTCTGAATTCGTTTTTACTGCATGAGAGTAGCGTCATGAACTACAATCTGATCCAGATGCTTGGTGACACGAAAGTGTTCATCAGGTATCAGATCTAGTTTGGGAGAGCAAAACAAACATAGGAGTGGAAACCTACCTATGGGCGATTTGTGAATTAGGACGAGTCTTAAACATAATGCATCTCTTCTCTTCCAGGACCAGAGTGGAAACCTACTAGTCAGGGTTGAGAGAGATAATTGTCTATGATCACGACAGTGGCGTATTCATACGTCCGTGACTCCAGTTCGAAAAGTTTAAGCTAAGATCTTATCAATTTTACTCTCTAGCAATGTTTTGAATCGTTCGTACCATTGAGAAAACTTCCCTGAACCCCAACGCCTTCTTGCCTATTGATTTACACCCTTTTTATTTCAAGCTTTAGTTCAATATTCTCATTCCTTTTTAGTTAATTTTCATTTAAGCAATTAGAATATTCGTTTTTCTCGTTTTTATTCATTTTCGTTAAGTTTAGTTATTAGGTCATTTAATTCCCGTATTTTCTTTTAAGATTTTGTTTTTGCATTTCAAACACACTACCAAACCCACACAAAACCGTTTTGGTTCTAGACTTCCTTATTTAATACTTATTTCAAAGGCTTTTTGCAGGAAAAGATCCTCCTTCCCTGTGGATTCGATCCCTAAGTACTACAATCGATCAGCTGTGCACTTGCGGCTATTGATTTCATTTAGGGTAAAACTTGACAACCCTCAACACACACCACATCATAGATCATCTCGTAATCGTTGTAAATTCGATGTAATGTTACATCGATTTTACGTCGATGTTGTGTTTAATCGTACTTGCGTTGAAAATTTTACGTCGTTTTTACGACAAATATTTCCCGACGATTTTCTGGTGTTGGAAATTTTACGACGATTTTACGACGATTTCTGACGATTGTTTTATGACGATTTTTTATTCGTCGCTAATTCGACGCAATAGCTCCATTACGTCAATTTTACGTCGATATTTTTCGACGTAAAAGGCGTTCTTTCTTGTAGTGTACAAAGCACTTACCAAGATTTACCATTTGGGAATACAAGATGTTTTTGTTAGTATGTCAGTGGAAGAAAGGCTAGGGTGGATTCAAACCAATATGGAGTGAATGTGGGTTTTTTTTTCTTAGGTTGCAATATTTTTTTTATTATGTTGCTTTTTTTCTTTGATTTTTTTTTGAACGTATGTGGTTTTAGGTTGTTTTCTTTTCTTTGATCTTTTCAAATCCAAAATTTATTGAGAATTCTATTCTATTAGATTTTAAATGATAGCATGTAACTTTTTAAATACACTGCTAAGTAATTTAAAATTTTAAACAACTCATATAGATTAGATTCTAAATGAATTAAAAAATTTTAAAATCTGATATACTCTAATCTAGTAGAGTTGATTTCAACATACAGATTGAATAACACCCCCTTAAATAACTTGTTATTCTGTAATAGCAGGCACTACTTTGCATATGTGAAGAGATAAATATAATATAACTTTACTCAAGAATGACCAGCATTTGATTTACACTTGGAGGAGTTTGTGAAGAGTAAAGAGGATTTGACCTTTTTTTAGATTTCACACATTTCACGCGCAAAGAATACAAAGGCGGACAACTGAGCACAAAGTGCTCGGGTCTACCCTCAGGATGTTATATATGTAAATTCCATACAATCTCTTTGAGTTACTGAATAGTTCTAGGTATCTACGCTGTCGACCAAAAAAATTTTTACTCAAAATTGAATAATTAGGAGATATCATTATACCGTCCACAAGATTAATGCAGTTCCTCAATATTGTGAATAAATTATTTACTTCAACACCTTCGCTTCTCAATTTTATATACATGTACTCTTTATCTTCTGAAACCTCCAATTATATGAAATCATAAATATTAAAAACTTGTAATCATTTTGGCAAACATATCATTAAGATAAAAATTCAATCGTCACAACATTCTTTTTATGCATAAAATTGGTATATGTGTTATTTTTTTAATGAATATATGATTACAATTAAATGGGAGTGGAATGTTGGAGATTTAAGTGTTACAATTATTGTAGTGAACAATTGCAATTCTTGAGTTTATGGTTATTTACTAAACATTGCAATTTTTGGGTTTATGGTTATTTTACCAACCATTATAACTCTTGAGTTTATAGTTATTAAACCATTGCAGTTATTGGGATTATGGTTATACTAAACCATTACTTTTGAACCTCTTGGAATTCTATAAAATATTGAGAAATCTTTGGAGGGAAAAATAGATAAGAGCAAGTAATTGTAAACAACAACTAGAAAAAACAACATAATAACAAACACAGAAAACTCTATTTATATTTCTTGTATCTTAGCCAAGAATAAGAGGAAAGTTTTGATTGTCTTATTTTACAAAGGATTTCGTGTAAACCAATGCTTCATAAGGGTCAAAATACTCTTTAAGGAAGGTACTTTATATACAATTCAATCATTATTCAAGTTCAGAATTTGTTTGATCTGGGTGCAACCACAACATTTTCTATTTCCATTTGTTCATTCATGAATACTAAACCCTAAAAACAACATAATAACAAACACAGAAAACTCTATATGTATTTCTTGTATCTTAGCCGAAAATAAGAGAAAAGTTTTGATTGTCTTATTTTACAAAGGATTTTGTGTAAACCAATGCTTCATAAAGGTCAAAATACTCTTTAAGGAAGGTGCTTTATATACAATTCAATCATTATCCAAGTTCAGATTTTTTTTTGATCTCGGTGCAACCACAACATTTTCTATTTCTATTTGTTCATTCATGAATACTAATTATATTTGGCACATAAATTCTAAGTCTCTAAAATGTACTATTAATATCACACAATTAAGAATAGTACATCCAATGTATATGATGTGATAAATTCAAGGCGGATAAATTAGCACAGAGTACTCAAGTCTACCCCTTAGATATTATATATGTAAACTCGATACCACCGATTTGGATTTCTGAATCGTGATAGGTATTTAGGCTGATGACAAAAAAAAGTTAACTTTGATTTAAAATGTATAAAAACTATTTCTAATGGTTTGAAATCCAAACAATGGAACAAGCTCAGGTGTCTAGTGATGACAATGATGAGGCTGAGGCCATTGAGGAGTTGAAGAAACGGCCTTCTGCTGCCAGTGGGAAACCCAAGCTAGAGAGCAACACTAGAGTATTTTCCAAAAATTTTATAGAGCCTGAAAAATTTGAAATTTTTCTACAAGATTTTTCACTAGAATTTTTTTTTTGTTTGGAGATTTTACCATTTTATATCATGATAATATTTTTAAAATTTTTTAAAATATATCTATCAATGATTGAGTTATATCAATAAAATTGATCAAGTTGGTTATAGTTGTTGATTAACTTCTTCTCAATGGCAATTGTATAGATATTTTTTATATGGATGTCTATGTTGAGTTATATGTTGTTACATTAATGGTAAACTATGAACTCAAATAGAAATGTGTGTTTGTTATTTTGTATGACTTCATTTATCTTTGTATCTTTATGTTTTTGAAAGTTATATCTATTTATTTTTTAGAATAGTAGATAATTTTTTTAAAAATTGAATATTCACATCTAAATATCATCACTTTTTGTTATATGTATGTTCACTGTGTTTGGTTTAAATATGTATATTCACTTATATATATTTAAAATAATTAAGAGTTTAAAATACTTGATTTTTCCTGCGATTTCGTGGCTGAGACCTAGTTAGCATATAATAACAATTTGATTTGGACAAGCAACATATGCAGTTTCAACGAGTAAAACCAAAATGTTGAGAAACTGACCATTCAACAAAGACTTTTACTGTGTAGAACGGGTTGGAGAAAGACTTGGGGGCTGTTCGCTTCATGATCATTCCTATTACAAAGACTACATGGTCAACATTTCTAAACGAAAAAAAACATCAACAGAGTACATATTGTTCACTGCCTTTCGTTAAAAGTTAGCATCTAGTTTGGTTTAGACAAACGAGTAAACGACATGTGAATTGTACTCTTTTCATCCAAAGTGAAGAACGGTTTGGAGGAAGACTATTAGTATTTAGTGAGTCAAGCGGAGTGGATTTATTCATGTGGATCGGAGTACATACAGTCTATTGTTTGGTATATAAAAAGATGAGCATGAATCCATGTAACCATCATATTTCCACCAGTTTTAATATTCAAGAAAGTTAAATTGGTTTGAAGCAAGATGCAAAAACGTTCTTGGAATTCAATGAGTACCATTCCTATTACTCTTTCTTTTCTCCTCTTCATTTTTTATTTTCAAAAAGTATTTTCGGCTCCTAGTAGACACTTGTGTCGTCCAGAACAAAGGGATGCACTTCTCGAGTTCAAAAACAAGTTTGAAATTGGCAATCCTTCTTCTTTTTGTATTACTTCTCATCCCAAAACGGAGTCATGGGTGAATAACAGCGACTGTTGTTATTGGGACGGTATCACATGTGATGCCAAATCTAGAGAACTGGTCAGTCTAGACCTTTCTTGCAGCTGCCTCCATGGCCGCATTCACTCTAACAACAAACTTTTTAATGTTCAAAACCTTCGCTTTCTAACCACTCTTGATCTTTCATGTAATGATTTAAGTGGTTGGATTCCCTCTTCATTTGGAAATCTTTCTAGTCTTACATATCTCAGCCTCGCTCGTAACAACTTTGCTGGTGAAATCCCATCTTCACTTGGAAGTCTTTTGCATCTCACCTCTCTCGACCTCTCTTTTAACATTTTTATTGGTGAAATCCCATTTTCATTAGGAAATCTTTCTCATCTCACCTCTCTCGACCTCTCTAATAATAGTTTTGTTGGTGGAATCCCAATTTCACTTGGAACTCTTTCTCATCTCACCTCTCTGAACCTTTATGATAACAATTTTGTTGGTGAAATCCCAAGGTCACTTGGAAATCTTTCTCATCTTACCGATCTTGACCTCTCTTGTAACAATTTTGTTGGTAAAATCCCATCGTCACTTGGAAGTCTTTCTCATCTCGCTTTTTTGTACCTCTATTATAACAGTTTTGTTGGTGAAATCCCATCCTCACTAGGAGATCTTTCCCATATCACCTCTCTCAGCCTCTCTTTTAACTATTTTGTTGGTGAAATCCCATCATCACTTGGAAATCTTTCTCATCTCAGAGATCTCAGCCTTGCTCATAACAACTTTGTTGGTGAAATCCCGCCTTCTTTTGGTAGTTTGAGCAACTTAGCCCTGTTAGATGTTAAGTCCAATAAGCTTAGTGGTAGCTTTCCTCTTACACTACTAAATCTGACAAAACTGTCAATTTTATCCCTCTCCAACAACCAGTTCGCAGGCATGCTTCCTTCTTTTGTCACCATTCCTTTGTTGGATACTCTTAGTTTGGAAAATAACCAACACAACGACACTCGAGAATTTGGGAATATTTTTTCATCACCTAAACTAGTAGAGTTAGACCTTTGCAATAACAACTTCATAGGGCCTGTTCCCATATCCATTTTCAAATCTGTGAACCTTGTGACGCTCGATCTTGGTGATAATCACCTCAGCGGAGAACTGCCAGAGATATTTTTCAATGGCAGTAATCTAAGGTCACTCAATGTTGGTCACAACCAACTGGTGGGAAAACTTCCGAGATCTTTGGCTAGTTGTTCTTCTTTGGAGGTTCTAAACGTGGAACACAACAGAATCAATGACACTTTTCCATTTTGGTTGGAATCCTTACAAAAGCTACAAGTACTGGTTCTCCACTCTAATGAGTTTCATGGGTCGTTACAATACAATCCCAAGGTTGCTTCTTGGTTTCCTCAATTGCGAATCATTGATATATCATATAATTCCTTCAATGGAACCCTACCATCTGATTTCTTCATATATTGGAGAGCAATTTCCTCGGAGGAAAACCGTTCAGAATTGAAATACATTGGAGAACAATCGTATTACAAAGACTCATTGGTTTTAATGAATAAAGGAGTAGAGATGAAATACACGAGGATCCTTTCACTCTTAACAGCCATTGATATTTCTGGTAATAGACTCCAAGGACCAATCCCTAAATCCATTGGTCTAGTGAAGAATCTTATTGTGCTCAATCTGTCAAGAAATGGTTTCATTGGCAACATCCCTTCATCTTTGACGAATCTGAAGGAGCTCGAGTCACTAGACTTATCGCATAACAAGCTTTCAGGCAAAATTCCACCTGCTCTCGGGGCCCTCACAAGTTTGTCTAAAGTTATATTTTCCCACAACCAGCTCGTCGGTCCAATACCGCATGGCACACAGTTTCAGACACAAGATGCTTCGTCATTTGAAGGTAACCTTGGACTTTGCGGTCGTCCTCTCAGTATAAGTTGTGGAGACATACATACAGAGCAAACACAAGAGCCAGAATCAGATGAAGAAGAAGGAGTATTCAGCTGGACTGCAGCTAGCATAGCCTTTGCACCTGGTGTCATCATCGGATTGATTATTGGGCACATTATGGTTACGAAAAAGCCTCAGTGGTTCATCAAGATTTCTGGCGTGACGAGGTATGTTAAATATTCAATCAACAATTCCTTTTGTGCAAATTAATAATGTACCATTGAAACTGATTCACCCTTTCCCCTTTGATTTACAGTTTAACAATTCGGTTTTTTACAAAACGGTGACATCTTGCGATCTCTGAAATTGTCTCTCTCTCGATTTGGTTCAAGGTTGCCTGATTTGATGTTTTGGTACTGAGAGTCACTTTTACCAATTGGTTCAAGGTCTCTATACCTTGTGCTTGATGCGAATGTGTAAGAAATCTATTTTAGTATTTGCGAAGTAAATCGGACGGTGGTTTAAAGCATAGCTTTTTGATGTCGTTTTGATTAATGAAAATAATAGATTTTGATTGGTCAACTCACATTATAATTTGATTGGTTGATTATATATTTTTAATCATTTAACCCATATATTAAATGCTTATTAAACCATATATTAAACTAGATTTTACATCAACGCTACGCGTGGATAATTTTTTAATACTATCATATTGATAAAAAAATCTATTTAAGCAGTTATCTTTATTTAAATTTTAATTTATTTTGTCAAAATTATTCAATTTTAATCTCAGAATTTGTATATAGAATTTGAGGTTTCAACGATCTTGTTTGTATCTATATATGTGTCGTTTGAAAAACATATTATTTTGTCGAATGCTTAACATTTTGTATACCAAAACTAATTCAAAATGTAACAAACTAATTATATAGTACTTAACTAATATTAACACGAAGATAACATACTATATATCACTTATTAGTCAAGAAAATAAGTTTTTTTTCTTCAGTTGCATTTTTGTTATGTAAGCTTTTTATAAAAAAATGATAAAGTTGAAAATTATTCTCTTTCCTTTGCTAGTTTAATTTAGTTGATACAAATTTCTGATTTATTCTTAATTAAAATAAAAACTAATAAACACAATTTTTGTTTTCATATATTTTAAAATAAGACAGTAAATAAATATAAAATAAAAAATTCAAACTAATTTCAAATCACAAAGATTAATATATGTGTTGTTTTTTATATTATATTAAATATTATTTTTTTTTTAGAAATTTCAACTCGTATAAATATTTTTAAATTATTCTAATGCTTGTAGGTTAGTATACTAAAAAAATAACTAACAACTATAACAAAATAATCAATTACTATATAATAAAAATAGTATGGACACAAAAATATTAGTATACGTTTCTTTGAAACAAAATAAGATTTTTTCATAATATTCAGTTTCTTTTTATATTCGGTTTGCGAAAAAACCAAAAAATAATGTTAAAATTTACTTTCTTTCCTTAATTGTTTGTATATGATATTATATCTAAGTAAATTGGTATTTTGTTTAAAATATATTTTAAATTTAATATTATTTTAACTTTTTTTGTTAATGGAATTTTTATACATAATTTTTTATTATTTTATAGATATTTATTATTAATAATAATATTAATTTTGGAAACTTTTTTAATTTTGAATATTGATGTGGACCAATAGAATTGTCCTTTTAGTCCTATGTAGACACCCTTAATGATATTTAGCTTCAACTTTTATTAGGAATCTTTTTTCTTCTCTTGTTTAACCAAAAAAATTTTTTATTTTGACCTATTAATTTAAAAAAAAAACATTTGCTTTGAGATTAATAACAAATTTAAATTTGAAACCAAAATAATAGTTGAATATAAAATAATTAAAAGTACACAAAATTTATAAATGAAAAATATTTTTGTCAATTGGATGTGTTAACTTTTAAATAATTTCAATGATTATACCTCATTTCTTCTAATTAGAATGAATTTTTTTTCATCATGTTCATTTTTATTCTTGATATATCTGTTTTTTAATTGAATATATCATATTTATTTATTATAATGATATTTGTATGATTATATTGTTTCATCATATTCATTTTCACTTCCTCTAATTATAATTAAGTAGGCAAAAGAGGTACAATTTAATACATACAAATTTAGAAAAATAAATACAGAAATGAACGAATCAAAACTAAGAACTTCTACATTAATCTATTGCAATTCCAAATCAAATATACAAAATGTAATTTTTGTTGATAATTTTCACATAATATATTACATGAGATTATGTGTAAATATGTTTTGCATATATGAAAATAATATAGAATTATAGATATATAAATCATAATTATTAATTATTTAAATTTTAAGTTAAAAGCCTTAAAACCAAGTAAGTTAATCTTGTATAAGTAGAATATATTTTTTATAGATAACAAATTATATTTGTAACTTAAACAATGATAATGGAAATTTTAATATTATGTTGATTTTTTTTTTGGTTAGTTGAAATTTCTTTATTTTTAATTTTTTTTAATCATAATATTAGAATTAGAAAAAAATTAATTTACAATTTTGATATATACGAATAAAAATGAAATTTTAAATTCTGATGTGGATGCTTTGAAAATAATATAGATTTAACTTTTATCAATAATAGAATAATTTTAATTAAATTTTTCTTATATTATTTAGTATTAAAAATGTAATGTTTTAATTTAAAATTTTTTAATTTTAGTTATTGATGTGGACTAATAAAATTGACCTTTTAAATCTTATGTGGATATTCTTAGAGGCATATAGCTTCACCTTTTATTTTTTTTAATAAATATATTTTTTGTTAACAATATTATTTTAAAATTTAGATTTTTTTTTTAATTTTAAATATTAATGTGGACAAATAGAATTGAACTTTTAAATCCTATGTGGACATTCTTAGAGGTATATAACTTTAAGCTTTTATTAATAATAGATTTAGAAGTCAAAGCTGGAAGATCCTATATGAGACTTATTGTGCAAGTGATTTTTGGTCTGTCTTCCTTGTTTTCAGGCTTACCGAATATATTCAGATGCTGCTTGGTCAGCTAATTTTTAGTGATTATATTAAAACTTTTAACCATAAAAATTAACTTGGATGTCTTGTGTGGATTTTATAATTTAATTTTCAATTCTCCCAAGAATAAATTTTTTTAATTTTCAATGTTGAGTTAGACCAATAAAAAATTTATACAAAATTTTTTTATTCAACAATAATATTAGAATTTGTAAACTTTCTTAATTTCCTTCTTCAGAAATAATATTAGAAATTCTAAAATTTAAATTTAAAATTTCCTATTTAATATTATTTATTTTAGTTTTTATTATTAATATAAATTTTATATATAATTTTTTATCTTTAAATTTTTTTTAAAAAAATAATAGAATTTGTGAACTTTTTCATTTTTAATGTTGAATATAAAATTGGTGATTTCATGGTCTTATTTTAACCGGAACATAAAGAAACCATAATTTTGTCTCAGTGACATATATTAAACACACTTACGATCTTATATAACTTGAATTAAGTAAGTTCCATTTTTATATAACTTATAGGCCCGTGTGTGGTAGAAATCAAAACTGGAAGATTCTGCACGAGGCACATTGCGGCAAGTGGTTGAGGTCACTCCTCTTTCTGATGAGGTTTACTGATTGTAATCGGATGCTGCTTGATCAGCTAATTATTAACATTGTTGTTCAGGTTGGGTTTTTAAAATCTTGTCAGATTTCATGTTATTGGCAGATCTTGCACGAGGCCTTTTGTGGCTAGTGGTTGCGATTACTCCTCCTTGTAATGAGGCTTAGTGATTGTAATCGGATATTGCTTGATCAGCTAATTGTTTTCATTGTGGTTTAGGTTGGGTTTTTAAAATTCTACCAGATCCCATGTTGTTCCAAGGATCTTCCTCGAATACCTTAGTCTCATCCGTCTTAATGACATAACTTCTTTCTCTATTCTCAGCGCTGTGTTTTTCAAAAGTGTCGGATATTAATCACTTAATATATTTCTCGAATTGCTTGGAACTTATATTTATTCTCAAATATGGTGGCTAAGCTTTGGAGAATTACGGTATCTTTCTCGATATTAATGCGAATTGTAATGGTTTTGTCTATATCTCCTTTCATCATAATCCTTTTTAGCTAATAGTTTAACAGATAGTTTAGCCAAATTGGCTCTTTTACGTTGTAATAACTCATTTTTGTGAAATCTAACTCTTTTTTTTAAATGGTTGCGTACACACATACACAAAATTATTATTATTTTTTTATATAGTTGTGTGATAAAAATTTGAATGCTCATGTATGAATCTCTAAATAATGTATGTGTGTATATGTGAAGAAATTTTACAATTTTTTTTGTTCTTAATTATTTATATTATTTTCCTACTTTAATATTATTTTAGTTTTTATTATTAATATAAATTTTATACATAATTTCCTAATTTTTAATATTTGATAAAAATAATAAAATAATTTGGAAACTTTCATTATTTTTAATGTTGGGTGGACCAATGAAAATTTGATTCATAATTTCCTTATTCTTTTATATTTTTTTATTCAGCAATAATATTAGAAATTTGTAATTTTTTAAAAATTTTATATGCTGATGTGGACCAATAAAATTGCAATCTTGAATCCTATGTGGACGCCCTTAGAAGTTTATAGCTTCAACTTTTATCAGTATACTAGATTTGCGTCCACGCTACGCGTGGGTATTTTGTTGATAAAAATTATATACAATCAATTATATCTATTATGATATAAATTTTATATATTAGTGTTTTGATAATATATTAAAAAGATTTTAATGTTAATATAATAATTTTAATGTAAATTGTGATGTTTTAACGGTTTTGTTTTGAATTTCGTATTTTAAAAATGTGTTATTTTATCAAACACTTAAAAGTAAACTACCTAAAAATTTTACAAATTAATCAAATGCTACTTTCTAAACATAGTATTGACATGATGATAAAATATTATACATTCACTTCTTTAAATCAAGAAGAAAAAATTATTTTTTCATCATTTTTACTTTTATTTTAATAATATATGTGTTATTAAAAAAAAATTAATTTTTTTGCTCCTTTTTAACCAATACAAAATTTTATTTTGATTTATTAATTTAAAAAACAACTAATAAATAAAATATTTACTTTGAAATTAATAACAACTTTAGTTTTGAAACCAAAATAATAGTTGAATATGATATGAATAAAAACACATAAAATATGTGAATTAAATATATTTTTGTCAATTGGTTGTGTTAAATTTTAAATAATTTTTCAATGATTATACATCATCTCCACTAATAAGAATGAATTTTTTTTTTTTCATCATGTTCATTTTTATTCTTGTTATATGTGTTTTTCCAATCTTATTTATATATTTTAGTGATTTTTGTATGATTATATTCAGTTTCATTATATTCATTCTCACTTTTTCTAATTATAATTAGGTAGAAAAAATCGGTACAATTTAATACATACAAATTGTATAGAAAAATTAATAACAAATTGAAAAACTAAAAACTAAAAATTTCTATTAATCTATTGCAATTGCAAATCGAATATACAAAATGTAATTTTTTTAATTATCTTTGCATAATATATTACATGAGGTTATGTGAAAATATGTTTTGCATATGTAACAAAAATTTATATGAATATAAATCATAGTTATTAGTTATTTAAAATTTTACATGAAAAGCTTTAAAATCAAGTAACTTAATCTTGTATAAATAGGATATATTTTTATTATAGATAACAAATTAAATTTGTAACTTAAACAGTGATATTTTTAAATTTTAATATCATGTTGTTTTTTGTTAATATAAATTTCTTTAGTTTTTAATTTATTTTCTTAGCAATAATATTATAATTAGGATTTTTTTTTAATTTACAATTTTGATATATACGAATAAAATTGAATTTTTAAATGCTGATGTGGATGCCTTGGAAATAATATAGCTTTAACTGTTATTAATAACAGAAAAGTTTGTTAACAATATTATTTTAAAATTTTTTTCTATAAATATATTTTTTGTTAACGATATAATTTTAAAATTTAGAATTTTTTAAATTTTAAATATTGATGTGGACCAAGAAAGTTGAACTTTTAAATCCTACGTGGACACTTTTAAAGACATATAACTTTAATTATGATTAGTAATAGATTTAGAAATCAAAGCTCGAAAATCCCACACGAAGCCCGTTGCGGCAAGTGATTTTAGTCTCTCCTCCTTGATTTGAAACTTACCAAATGTATTCGGATATTGCTTGGTCAGCTAATTGTTACCTTTGTGGTTCAGGTTGGGTTGTTAAAACTCTGTTATATGCCATGTTATTCTAAAAATCTTCTTCGGATACATCAATCTTCTTTGCCTTAATGACAGAACCTCTTACTTTATTTTCAGTGCTTCATTTTTTAAAAGTGTCGAGTATCAATCACTTGACATCTTTCTCGGATTGCTTAGAATTTATCATTCTTCTCAAAATAAATGGTCAAGCTTTAGAGATTTTATAGTCTCTTTTTAATATTAAAGCAGCTTGTAGTGGCTTTGTTTATATCTCATTTCATCATATTTTTTTTTGTAATTTAGCTAATATTTAAACAGATAGTTTAGTCAAATTTGTTCTTTTACGTTGTAATAACTCATTCTTTAGTGAAACATAACTCTATATTTTTGTTTTTAATTGAAATGATTGCACACAAAAGAAAAAAATACTTAAAATTTATCATAGTATGTGACAAAATTTTGATTGCTAATGTAAGAGCCCCTAAATATGTGTGCATACATCTAATTTAAATTCAAGATTTTCATAATTTCCTACTTTAATATTGAAAATAATATAGCTTTAATTGTTATAAAGAATTTTAATTAACAATTTTTCTTATGTTGTTTTGTATTAACAATGTAATTTTATAATTTAGAATTTTTTTTTTAATTTTAGTTATTGTTGTAGACTAATAAAATTGACCTTTTAAATATTATGTGGATGTCATTAGATGCATATAGCTTCAACTTTTATTTTTCTATAAATATAAGTTTTTGTTAACAATAGAATTTTTTTAAAATTTTAATTTTAAATATTGGTATGAACCAATAGAATTGAACTTTTAAATCCTATATGGATATTCTTAATAGCATATAGCTTTAATTTTTCTTAGTAATAGGATTTAGAAGCCTCCTGGTTTTGAGGCTTACCGAATGTATTCAGATGCTGCTTGATCAGCTAATTGTTACCTTTGTGGTTAAATTTAGGTTATTAAAACCCCATCAGATGCCATGTTATTTCAAAAATCTTCTTTGGATACCTCGATCTCCTTCGTCTTAATGATGGAAATTCTTTCTCTATTTTATGTGCTTCGTTTTTCAAAAGTGTCGAATATCAATCACTTGACATGTTTCTCAGATTGCTTGGAATTTATCATTCTTCTCAAATTTGGTGGTCAAAATTTGGAAATTTTACGGTCTCTTTTTCAATATTAAAGCATCTTGTAGTGGATTTGTTTATATCTCTTTTCATTATATTTTTTTGTAATTTAGCTAATAGTTAAACATATAGTTTAGTCAAGTTGGTTCTTTTATGCTGTAATGACTCAGTTTTAAGTGAAACTTAACTCTATTTTTTTTTATATGGTTGCACACACAGAAAAAAAAATTTCAAAATTGTTATATGTGACAAAAAAAATTGGATGCTAATGTAAGAGTCTCTAAATATGTGTATACATCTAATTTAAATTTAAATTTTCCTATTTTAATATTATTTATTTTAGTTTTTATTATTAATATAAATTATATATAATTTCTTTATCTTTAATAATTTTTAAAAACAATAATAATTTGTAAACTTTTTAATTTTCAATGTTGAGGTGGACCAATTAAAAATTATACAGAATTTTTTTATTTAGCAATAATATTAGAATTTGTAAACTTTCTTAATTTCCTTATTCAACAATAATCTTAAAAATTTGTAAACTTTCCTTATTTTTGAATGTTGATGTGGACCAATAGAATTGAAATTTTAAATCTTATGTGGACACCCTTAGAAGCCTATAGCTTCACTTTTTTTAGTATAAGATAAGATGCTTAGCACAGCTTAAAAAAAAAAAGAAACATGGGCCATAATTCTAACTGTCGAATAATGTGGCGCAAGATCAAAATCTAAAATTCAAAAACATTATGGATAAATTCCAATATATCATTTACTCTGAATGAGATGATAGCTGTGTTGGTTAGGTGCATTATCTGTTAAGCGAAGGCTCACGGGTTCAAGTCCCATTGTTTGTTTGTTTTTTTTTTAATTTTGTAAAGTTTAGTTATAAGTCAGTGTTTGGGAAATAAGTTTTATTTGTTAAATATTTTGCAAGCGGAAATATGTCATAATTTCCTTTGTTATTATCTAGAATGGGATCTTTACATTTTTATAGTTAATAACTACGAAATTCATGGAAAGATAATATCGTATATAAAATAAGTATTACCTTTAATATTTTTCATAAAAAACTAAATTCTAGATGGTTTAGCCGTATAAATATGAGTGTTTTAAAACAATCGTGTCATAATTTATAGTTTAGTTTCTCTGTTAGGGTTCTGTATTTTTTTTGCTAGGATTTTTATAATAGCATTAACTTTTTGGATCTCTTTAAAAAAAGATTCATGATGTTTGTCTACTTGCATACAAACCTAACCATGTGTTCGTCTAAGTACAACTTTAATCATCCATCTAAAGTCATGATTACTTGGGAAGTTCTGTCTACTCCTTCGTGTATATATCTAGCTCTCTTCAAATTAATAATAATATGCTCTTTACGTTTTTAACGATTCTAAATATTTTTTTGTCCATAGGTTTTGATAACCAGGCTTATGCTTGCGAGTTAAGATATGTGTTGAATTCGTATCGCCCGAATATGGATCAAAAAGAGATATCTGATTATCGTTACGTAACTCCATACGTTTTCGTTCGATATCATAAAAAATGTTGTTGTGCCTTTTTAGGTTATTCATGCAATTTATAATACCTTTTAGTAATTGTTTTGTATTTTTATGTTATCCATGCAAGTTACTTATGGATCCTGCTATCGACGATTGGACCTTGCGGACTTATGATCCTGTAATCGAAGGTTCGTAGTGCTGTAACTTAATCTTACAATTTTGTACCTTTTCTATATATTAATCTACGAAAGTATTCATTTTTTATTTGTTTTATGTTGATCTTGATTCTGCATAATATATAGCTTCTGATCAAATGAGGTATTCCTGCTCTTCCTGTAATATAATTTTGTTAATGATGTATATTAAATTCTTTATACATGTTTACGTTTGGTCTGAGTTTTCGTTTTGTAAATTTAGGTTCTGATCATCTGAGTTCGAGCGACCATGCTCATAAGAACTTTCTTTGGGATTTTTCGAGGAAGGCTTGGATTATAAATAAAGAATCTAATGGTTTCAATGGTTCGTTTTTTGCTTTGAATACCATTTTTTTCCTTTTTTTGGACCTTCCAAAGATGGTTGTACTATCTTTGTTAAGGTTTTACAGACGTGGGTGGATAGGCTAATTTCGAAACGTTCTTCTCTGGAGCTCATATTATCGGATGAACAGGTATTTATTATATTATGAGAAAAAAAATTATAAAATTGTGTTGATGTCTAATTGATTGTTTTATTAACAGGGTGTTAAAATTCAGGCCACTGTTATAGATGGTGAGATCGATGTTGCAGCGTCTCGCATTGATGTTGGTAGTTGGATTATTCTCAGTTGTTTTGCTGTTATCGAGTGTGAGGATAGTTCTAGATCAACTTCTCATAGCTACAAAATATTGTTCCTACCATCAACTATCATTGACAAGACTTCACGTAGATGTGAAAACGATTATTTTGACTTCGTTGATTTTCAAAGAATATTAGATCGTGCCCATGATGATGACTATTTAGTTGGTGTGTTTATTTTCAGTTTAGATATTGAATTTCATTATTATTATGTTGCTGATGTTAATATGGTTTAGTTTTTATTTTTTATGAAGATTTGATAGGTTGGGTCTTAAATGTAAGTCGATCTGGGACGTGGTGTGGTTTACTCTCTGGAGAGCATCATCCTGTTCCTTCCTATGGCAATCCATGTAAGGATGTATATGATTCCGAAAAATGGGTGCATATTCAACTGTAACCTTTTGTCTGAGGGAAAAACAGTATTGTCTCTTGAACGTTTTGAAACTATATATTGTCGTTTTATGTGTTCTGTCTAGCTGATTATGTGTGACGTGTTTTTAATTTAGCTGTGTTGATTTGAGTTGTGAGTTAAAAACTTCTACACAGCTTCGAGTCGTTGTGACCAGGATATCATTGTGTGTGTGCTTAGATGGGCAGTCATTGATTATTTTGGAGGTATTTTTAGTATAACAATTTATAGTCTTTATGTTTTCTGCTTTATTGCGTTGATTCTATATGTGTCTTTATGTATATAAACGTAGGCAAGATCACTATATCATCCACTTCTCCTACTATGTTCGAACTCAATCCCCGTATTCCATAGATAGATGAGTTTTTGGAACAGTGAGTTTTTTTACTTTTTTTTCCTGATATTTAATGGCTGTATTTAAATTTTTTATATTAACCTGTGGTCGCCTTCTCTCTCACATATTTTTTTTTACATATAAAACTGCAGATATCCGCGTAAGAGACCATGTACTCGTGGTAGTGTGGGAAGTCTGCATTAAATAGTGTTATGATGCATCTTATTCAGATATGCGTATATCATTTTTAAAAATTATTTATCATGTATACAGATTATAATTTAAATATTCTTTATTCTTCAGACTTTTGTAATTTAATCAATAAAAAATATCGTTTAATGTAATTATTGTTGTTTGATAATGAAATGTGAATCTCAGAGAATATATATATATATATTATATATACATAAATAACACATATTTTTATTAACTTCTTGAACTCCAAGTAATTCAAATTTATAAATATTTTTAGAGGAATCGAAGATATCTGTGATCTTATCACAATTTTTATTTTTTTTTCCATTTAACGACTATGAAAATCATGGTGTTTCTTTTATGTGACACAAGATATAGAATTGATTTTTAATTATTAGTTAAAAAGGAAAAAACGTAATAGTTAAAAGGTAAAAAATTCTCTGAAAACATTTATTAGTTAAAAGGTAAAAATGCTATTAAAGGAAAAAATTCTAAGAAACCCTAGAAAAATAGAAAACGCGTAAACCATATAATTCTTATATCTCTATATATATGCACATATTGCAGTATATGTATATATATACATCTATCGCGACTTTGCGAGTTACCAGTCTGCATTGCTAGATTTGTTTGCATTTGGTTTCTTCGATGGAAGCGTTTGGTAAATGTTATTCTATTAATAAATAAATATGAGTTTTGTATTATGTATTGAGAGACGTCAATAACTTTTAGTTTTTTTTTTAACGGTATTCTATTGATTTTTGTTATTCTAAATATGATTGTTTTTCTACTATCCATGTCTAGGTGCTCACAAGCGACCACATGTTAATTGGCAAGTTATGCTGTTTCATCTTCTTGGAGAAAATATTTTGTTTTCTAATAATTTAGATAGACGTGTTCCTGCCAGAAAACCTAAATTCCTTGCTTGGTTGAGGTGTAATCAGTTCTATCCAAAGGCGAGGAATCTTTAATACTCAGAGATTCTTTCTATGTTTGTATGGGATCGTAAAAATAAGGCATAGAGGCCAAGACTAAAGGTAAATTCTGGTGCGTGTGTTGAGTACAGAGAAGAGTAAGCTCTTATTGGACGTAGTTAGGGGTCTACGTAGTTTTGATGATATTAGGACTGTTGGTGGAGTCGTGTATCCTTCGTTTAGAAGTGCATACCATGCATTAGGGTTAGTTGGTTGATGATCACGAGACACTAATTATTTATGATATTTTATTTTTAGTTTCTTTATTGGGGCCTAATTATTTCTTATTTTAATAAAAAGCAATATATAATAAATAGTTTTAGAATAATTATATATATCAAAGTTGTTCTAATAATAAAAGTATATTTATAACACAAGATTAGTTTGTTTTGCCCTAATCTTATCGTTCCTTAAATTTTGTAAAAATAAAATAAATTAAATACATATTTTGAGATATGGTTTGGCATATATATAGAGTTGTTTCTCATTCTTTTGATATTTTGGAATTTGGAAACGTCTGTCGGTATATTTGCGATGGATAATTTAAATAGTTGCTTCTCTTTTAGTGAGTTCGAACATATCCTAGATGGATCCTGCGATGTTAACAGTTGCGTAGATAAGCTGTGTGTATTATGTATGTTCTTGTGATATGACACACTTTAGGTTTTGTAAGATGTAAATCGTTATATTGTTGACTTGACTTTTTATGTGTTTTGCGATAAGATCTAATTGGACGTGTTATGACTGTTGGAAACTACGTTGACCCACAAAATCTTTTTGAAAGCTACATGATGAATGAGATATATATCGAATTGGAGAATCAGAAGTATTATGTATTATCATACAGTTTAGAATTTAAAGCTACTTACAACCAACTTACGTCTGATTGCTTTATTTTATAATTATTAGAGGATGTCGTCTACCATGTCGTTTAATTGGCAATTTCGGTCGAGATTTTCTCGATGGTTTGATGCATTGTGAGGACGATATGATAATATGTATCATTCTGTCTGCAAAAGTGGATGTCATCCGAGGTACTTTAATGTAAAACAGTTCTCTTTATAATTTATCAATGTGACCAATATTTGAAAGTGTTTGTTAAGTTAGAAACTCTTTTAATTTGTTTTTGTGATCATAAGGTAATTGGATGGCTACGACCGCTCCTAATTACATGCGGATAATGTTGGCACCAGCTATTTATGAAGTGGTACATCTGCGAGAGGCATTGGTATCAGCCGACCAATAGTGAATTCTGTTTCACGAATACATTAATCTTGGAGGAACAGCCTATGCATTTTTTTATATCGTGTAAGACTACATTGTATTTTTTTACTTCGTTATTGGCCTCTTCTGCTCATAGGACTTATCTTATTGATCTCCGCATATGTGCGCGATTGTTACAATATATTAAAGAAATCTTCCATTTTTTAGTCAACCTAATGCTTCTTCTTTATGCAACATATTGTTTAAGAATTGTAAAGATAATATACAGAGGATAAATTATGTGCTGATGTGATATTTCTATCATACTAAGAGATCTGATATTAGATTTCATAAGATAGTAGAATTTGTAATTTTATTATTTTATAGATATTCCTTTGGAAGATAATAAATTTATTATGCAGTTATCTCATATAAATAATGGAGAAATTATCATATAATTATAACACGTAATTTAAAAACTTTGTGCAATTATTTTCTATTCAAATATATCCTGTAGATTATAAATTATTTTGATTGAGCTCATTGCATCTAATTTATTAGTTTGTCTAATTATTATTATATATTAACGTTTTAGTAGCTTAAACTCATCGTTTAGGAAGAATTTTTTAAATTGTTAACCTAAATTGTTATAAATTTATTTATGAAATATAGTTTCTACTTTGTATATGCAGTTCCTGTAATGTTTGTCCTTTTTAAAATTTTTATTAACTTAATTATGTTAAATTTCCATTAAAAATATATATAAATCGAAATTACCTGAGTATTAATGTTTTATTTTATACAGAGAATTAGAAGATTTTACGTTTTTAACCCTTTTAAAATATACAAAATTAGAGAAGATTTTATCGTCTTTAACTTTTGTTGAGCTGTATCTATTTTCTAAAAAGTACTAAACCATATCCGAATTAAGTCTAATTTACATAATATATATACCATGTCTTCTGCTCTATATATACAGACCCATTCTTCGTCTTAATTTCTCGCAATTTTTCTTCTTTGTTATAATATTGTGTGGTCTAAGCTATGTCAATTTTTAAAAGAAATCAGCATCTAATGTTTTCATTAAGGATTTATGTCCAGGCTCTGATAATTATGTTATCAAGGTTAATATCCTCAAGGTTTGGGATGGATTCAAAGGCAGAGGAGGGTGTTCACTTGAGATGGTCTTGGTTGATCAAGAGGTTAGTGCTGTAATTTCTAAATATCTCGGTTAGTCAATTAGTTGTTGGTTTAAATTTGATTTTTTTTTTTTTTTGTATTTTGGAACTCAGGGTGATAGGATACAAGCAACTGTTGAAAGAGATTTCGCTAAATCTTTTTGTAAAGATTTGATCGAGGGAAAACCGGTGCTTATCAATACTTTTAAGGTTGTTGAGTATAATTCTGAGTATCAAACTACACGAACACCTTTTAAGATAGTGTTCTATGCAACTATGACTGTTTCGAGATGCTTGGATTTCCCTCAGGAAATTCCCGAGAATTATATGAAAAGTTTCCAAGATATTTTATCAACTGATTTGGATAATTACTATTTGATCGGTACCATATCTAAACTGAGTTGCAGAGTTTATTTAACGTTTTTGAGAACACGATATTAAACACTTTCTCCATTAAATATCTGTTGGTTAATTGTTTGGTTCTTTTGTTTTGTGTTACTTTATTACAAACACTAAGATGTGGTCGGACAATTCGTAAGAATTGGTCATGTAGAGGACATCATGGCCAAGGAAAACGGCGCTCTAAGCTTAAGATTTATCTTATAGATGAGAGATAAGATACTAAGAATTAATATAATGTTTTATTTTATTTTATGTTATTTTTAATTATATAGTCGAACTGATGATCATGTGTTAATTATAATATCGACTTACAATTACCGTGTACTCTTTAGGCTGATTATGCAAATGAAGTTGCTGCTTACGTTTAACGTAATTGCACATCCGTCGTTGTGGTTATTATAAGGTTTGCATGTATCAAAAACTACTGAGGTATATTATTTAATGACTTATTCTGATTCAATTGTAGAGAAAATTATGAACAAATTTGACATAAATTATATCTATTTCTGAAACACGCGTTTATTTAAACATTTTTGGTGAGATGAGCGTTTCAAATGCTTTTAATACAACTCAGATTTTTTTTGATCCAGTATGTCCACTGGTGGCGAAATTCCGATCTGTGTAAGAATCTATTCAATGAAGCTATAGTTCGGTTTTATTTTTCATTTATGTTGTATTTATATTTATATATACATGTTATTTTTACTATATTTATTTTTTGCACTTTTTCTGTTAAGGTTGTCCAAGATAAGTATGTTCTCATTCCTAACGACGATGATTCAGGTGTAGATTCCAAAGATTCATTGCTTATCCAAAGATTCATTAAACAATAAATTTTTGGAAATTGATATTAGGCGGAAGTTAAGTTCTATACATTCGATCGATACGGTATGTGAATATGTGATACTCTATCATCGTTGTTTTTTAAAAAAATTCTGTATCGATGGTTGTCATTCATTGTTCCGAATGAGCAGGTTGGTAAGTATGTGACATTGGCGACCATACGCTCGGTTGCCAATAGTAATTCATGGTATTACATAGCATGCAAAATGTGTGAAAAAAAGTTCATCCTATCCCCAAGAGAGAACATGCTCCTTCACCGCCGCTTTGGAAATGCATTACTTGCAATAGCAACGTTTCTGAGTCTCAAGGTGTTGCTAGGTATTCAAGTATTTATTCTTTGAATTCAACGTCTACACGTTTTTATAATCGTTATGTTGTACATTTATTTATATTTTTAAAACTATTTGTCTAATTCTTCCTTTATAGTTTTTTCTGATGTTGAATATGGACGATGGGTTTGAAGGGATGGCAGTCTTTGTCATGTTCGACAAAATTGGTCAAAATTTGTTTAAGTAGACTGCAGACGAAGTTTTCAAAGATCTGTTGGGGTAGACCTATAGTTTTATTTGATGAGCATTATGATTATCTAATTCATTTAAATTATTCTCGAAATATTTCATAGGATAATTTGTATGGACTGCCTCAATCCCTGCGCGATCTAGAAGGAAAAGAGTTCCTTTTCAAGGTTACAGTAACGGAAGATAATGTCAAAAAGGTTAAGACTTCATATTCGGTTGACAGGTTTACATCCGATGACTATATGATTCAGCCGTTCTGTAGTCAGGTCTATTCAGAGGTTTGCTTTCGATTCTTTATTTTCTCGGAATATTTAGTTATAAAGAACGGATCGTTTCTTTGTTATGATGTTTTTTTAAGCCTCCGGTTTTGGAATCCTGTGTTGATGAAGACACAAAAGCTTCTATCGAGAAGACTGTACCTGCATCTTCTAAAAGTGATTGTGATAATCCTGATGTCATTGCTAATGTAAATGCTGAAGCTTCTGTCGAGAAGATTGTACCTACATCTTCTAAAAGTGATTGTGATGCTCCTGATGTCATTTCTAATTTAAATGCAGAAGCTTCTATCGAGAAGACTGCTCTTGCAACTTCTAAAAGAGATCGTGAGGATCCTGATGTCATTGCTACTCCCGTCAAAACATCTGCAGCTAGAAGGAGGAAGAGTTCTCTGTCATAGGAAATTTAGCGATAAGGAGATTGCTCTTGTATTATTCTGTCTAATTTCAGGATTAGAGTTTTGTTAGAACCTTTTCTATTCGGAATATTGATGATTTACACCTTATGATTAATTAATTTTTAAATTTAATTTGAAAGAGCTTAAATATTTCATTATCAATAGTTGTTCCTTGCCTTTTTTTTTTAAAAATGATTTATTTATATTCAGTTTTATGTTTACAATCGTCGCGTGTTATAAATATACGTGTTTATGTGGATAATTGTTTTGATTCGCTTAGTTTTAGCAATGGTTATCATGTTTGGTATTATGTCGACAGTTAATTTGTTATAATGTTGTTTATGATATCGATAGTTCATTTATTATAATCTTAGATATGATATCGGGGGTATAATCAATAAACAGTTTAAAACGTTGTTTTGGAATGTTGGTTTATCTCTGAATACATCTACCAAACATGCTGGAAACAGTCGTGAGTCTAAAAGTTGATTTTATCGCGGCTCGATTAGTAAAAATATAAACTATGTTCGTGTTTTTCGTTATAAGTATCAAAATTAATAAACTGTATATATATATATAGTTAAATAAATATCGTGATATATTTACGATGATCGTAATATTTGTATGAATAAATTGTCCAGTAATTGTAGCAAACGAATTATATATTCACGTTTAATGATACTCAAATACCCTAGGGAATATTCATTCTGTTATACTTACATGTGCGTATATTAAAAAAAAAAACAAAAATGTCAATATTCTAATAAAACCCTAGAATACTTGGTTATATATACATGTAGTGTCATGTTGTGATTTACTCCATTCTGTGCTGCTAGCTTTTTCCTTATACCTCTATAATGAACTCATCAGGTACGATGTATATTATGTATATAATTTGTTACTGTTTTGTATTTATTAAGTTCTGCTTTCTTAGTTATAGTTATTGGTAACTTAAGTCTAATTGTGTTTGTAGGTGCAAGTACACGTAGAAGCGTTAGAGCATCTCCAACACTGCTCCATTTTCTGCTACAAACTCCATTTTGGAGTAAATTTCACTCCAATCCTACTTCATTGTTTACTGCAAAATGGAGAAAAAATAGAGATTGCTCCATATTTGGAGTAAACCTTTATTCTACTCCATTTTGCAGTTATACTTTTTTTTATTTACAACCTGATCTTTAAAATATTAAATAATTATAATTTTATACCTTTTATCAACACAGCAAGCAACATTCTCGATATTATATATGGCTATATGCATTTTCTTTTTTCAGATATCTACCTAATATTTGTATGACACATATCACTTTGACTTATATACTTATATGTAATTAAAAAATGGTGTTCATGTATATATATATATATATAACTATCAGTTTAATAATTAAGTTTTTATTTTATAATTCATGTTTATAAGATATTTTATAATTCATGCTTAAAATAAACTGAAAAATATACAACAAGTGCTAAAATCAAAGATAAACATAAAAATTTAACACAACAAATACAAACAATTTAATATTCTGCTAAATCGCTTCCTGATCCAAGAGTTGATGATGACAATATCAGGTTCCAAGAGTTTCTCGGTTGATTTAGAGAAATCAAAGATAAAGAAGCTCATTTTCACTTCATAATGCATTAATTGATCATTTGTGGGAAAAATTTAGTAATTGTGATGTTTAAATTTCCTAAGTGTTATGATATTATGTAGTTTTTTCTTTTTTAATAAAATTTCTTATGTTTTTATGATTTTATGTAATTTTCTTTATTTAAGAAACATTTAATTTTATTAAATTTATATATTATAAATATTTTAGATTAAATAAAATAAGTGGGTTATTTTGTAACTTTTAAAAGTTATAAGTTATTAAAAACAAAAGAAAAATAGAATCTATTGGGAATATTTTTTTTTGGAGTAAAAAATGGAGTCATATATTGGAGCAAAACACAACTCCATTTTGGAGTAAAAAATGGAGATTTACATTGGAGATGGTCTTAGTCCGAACGTGTTGCCTTTCCATCTTCCTGAGTTGGAGATTGTGATGTCTGATGATGGCAAAAATCCTGGCTCTATTGGAATATCTAAGTTCACGGCTTGGATGAATTGCAACAAAGAATATCCGGAAGGTAGAATGCTTTTGTATTCAGAAATTCCAACTAAATTTGTTTGGGATCGTAACAAAAATTTATGAAGACGATATGTCATTGGTGATCCGGGAGTCAGCATTATTATAACAGATTGTTCGGACGGATCTGGCGAGGCTTATCATCTCAGGGTTTTGTTGGGTGTCTTAAAGGGACCATGTTCTTATGAGGATATTAGGACTGTTGATGGTATCGTTTACCCTACCTTCAAAGATGCATGTCATGCGATTGGACTAGCCAATTGGTAGTTTTCATAAGTTAGACATTAAGGTTTTATATGTCGTATTTTTATTTTTTTATGTTTAATTTAGATTTTATATGTCGTATTTTATTTTCTAAAATATATTCGTTATAATTAATAAAATTATTAGGGTTTTTTAATATATGTATTTTTATCAATAAATTTTCTATAGTTTACTGTCCTTAAAAAAGGAAATTATGGCATTCATATTGCGATTATGCTAAATTTTTAATGTTTATATATTGATTACTTGCGGATTATTTCCTCAAGGGATAAAATTTTCTATTAAATAAATATGTTATCACAAAAATGTAAAATAAACAACATGATATCTCAAAAATGTAAATATTCGATATATCTTTTTATTTTGAAGTGTATAAATAGTAAACAAGATTTGGTTTAAATATTGTCTCTGATGTGTTTATTTAAAGCACTTTTGAAAGCAATCATTGTAATTCTATTGAGGCTCTGAGTTTGCATATAACTTAAATGGCTTTTTTCTTATCTGTCGCCGTACATAAAAAATATGATCAAAATCTGTTTGGAATTTCTGAACTTGACAAGAATGTATGAAAGACTAAGTTGAAAGTCTTACAGAAATTTTATAGATTTCCCGAGTGTGACCGCACGGTAGACTTTATAATGGGGGGCTGGAAGGTATACTACATCAATTTCATGATTATATTTTAGTTTTTGTAATGATAAATGGTTGAATATTTGTTTTGTTACTTTTCAGGGACAGAAGATTTATGTTACAGCACCGATTGAATTTTATGATAAATATTCGAAGATATGTAACGAGGGAGATTGGGTACTTTTAACAAATTTTAATCTATTGCCTCTTACCGGTGAATTCAAGCCGGGTACATATCCTTATATGATCCAGCTTACCAGTGATATAACGTGCGCAAGCCCTTATACTTTAGATATCAATGGTTATTTTTCGTTCGTCGTTTTTGAAGATATCATGAATGAGACTATTGATTTTAACTTCTGTGTGGGTGAATATTCGGTGTATTTTTCATTATTGATTTGGCATTCAATGACTATATTGGCTAATTTGCAATTTTTTTTTAAACAGATTTAATCGGTAAGGTTGTCAACGTGGAAAACTCTCATGATAGAATTGGTTCCTTAGGATGCTCTACACAGCCGATAATAAGATTCGATCTCGAAAACAAAAGGTAATATGTATACAAGTATCTGTTTTTGATAAGAAAATTTCAAAAAATAAAATTTTTAGTTTATCTCAGACTGATTTTTGTTTGATAGGAAACTTTAGGAATCGACGTTTATCATGTTTTCTGAAAGGTGATTATGCTGAAACTTTTCTTGGTGAGTTGGGTGGATGTAAACAAGATGTCGTTATTTGCATCATTCGTTTTGCGAAGATAGTTGTTAGACGAGGTATTTTGTTAGTTTTTGATATGAGATGATTGTATAGTATAGGTGATAACTATGATTTGGTTTTTGTTTGTTCGATAATATAGGGTGTTTCTTGGCAACTACGTCGTATGATTGCACACAAGTTATTCTAAATTCACGATGCTTCGAGGTCTATCAATTTCGAGAGTTGATATGCAGTCGTTAGATCCTGATTTTACGAGTTTCGTGATAATGTTTTTGGAATCATTTTATATCGATTATGATTTTAAAATTTTATGGTTTGTGTTAGACATCGAAATTGTGATGAATCAAATTCGACTTTTTATTACTATCGCTCTTGGTAGAATTACATACGTACCCATTGGGGCAGGTGAATTGTATTATTTAAGGCTTCTCCTTAATTTAGTCACAGGACCACATAGTTTTGACGATATAAAAACGGTCAACAATGTTCTACATTCTTCGTTCAAAGAAGCTTGCTAAGCTTATGGATTATTGAATGATGACAAAGAATATATTGAGGCCATCAATGATGCCGGATTGTGGCTTTCTGTCAACTATCTCCGTCGTCTTTTTGTGATCATGCTCACTACTCATAATATATCCATTCCTTCTAGAGTTTAGAATGCTACGTGGGAGGTATTATCTGATGACATTTTATATAATCACAGAAAGTCTGCCAAAGATCAAAGTAAGTCATATAGTTATTGTTGACGTTATTGTTATTATATTTCTTTAAGATATTGATAACTAATTTCTCTTTTAAAAATTATTGAAATTGTGTAGCTGCTAGCCTATCTCAGGAGCAAGTTAAAGACTTTGCTCTGGTTGAAATAGAACTTCTTTTACGTGTAAGCGGGAGAACTTTAAAAGAATTCACACTTATGCCATTTCCTGAAGATATTACTCTAGAGTCACATGATAATCCTCTTATTCGGGATGAGAGGAACTACAATCGCGAAACTCTTAGAGTTAGAAACGAGCAGATGTTAGCCACTATAACCAACAAGCAGAGAAGTGTTTATGATGAGATCCTAGAAGCAGTAAATAAGAACAAGGGAGGTATGTTCTTTGTTTATGGTTCTGGAGGTACCGGTAAAACTTACTTGTGAAGTCTATTAGGATCTGCTCTACGTTCCAAAGGTCATGTTGTTCTTAACGTTGCATTGAGCGGGATTGCTGCGTTGCTATTAGAAGGAGGCCAAACTGCGCATTCAAGATTTTTGATCCCTATTGTGGTTAATAAGTTTACCTTCTGTTCAATCAAGAAGGAATCGAATCTTGCCGACCTGATAAGGCTTGCTAAACTCATTATATGGGATGAGGCGTTGATGATGAGTAAAGACTGCTTCGAGACTCTAGATAGAACAATGCATGATATATTAGAAGTTGACAAGCCCTTTGGTGACAAGGTCATTGTTTTGGGAGGGGATTTCAGGAAAATATTGCCAGTGATTCCAAATGCTGGGAAGACAGAGATACTTATGGCCACTTTGAATTCGTCACCTCTGTGGTACAAATGTAGAGTATTGAGACTTACACAGAACATGCGACTTATTGCTGGAGATAGTAGCCGTGCGATGCTTGAACGCGCTGCCTTTACAAAGTGGATCTTAGATATTGGTGATAGAACGATAAATGATGATGGGAGTGGTGAAGCCGAGATTGATATTCCTGATGATCTGTTGATTGAAGACTGTGAAGATCCTATAAAAACGATCGTGAAAGAAATTTAAGGGCGTTCGTTTTCGATAGAGACTGATCCTAATTTTTTTCAAGACCGTGCCATACTGAGTCCAAGAAATGATGATGTAGAGATGATAAATGACTACATGCTTTCAAAGTTACCGGTATGTTTATGTTTTATTAGTGCCTTTTAACTTATTTGTTTAAATTTATATAATACAACAATTGTTATGTATATAATAGGTGTTGAAAGGACCTATCTTAGTTGTGATAACATTGATACGGCTGAACAAGTTGTCAATTATAATGATGCATCTGAAATACTATCGGAGAGTGTAGCCAGGGAGAATAAAGGTGGTTCTTACAATATGATTTATACCGAGGAGTTTTTAAATAGTATCAAGATGTCTCGATTCTCTAATCATGTCCTGAAGTTGACGGCCGGTATTCCTGTAATGCTGCTAAGAAATATCGACCCTAAGAATGCGTTGTGTAATGGCACAAGACTCATCATTACTCGGATGGCTAATTATGTTCTCGAGGCTCAGATAATAACCGGTAGCAAAGTTGGTGACAAAGTACTCATTCCTAGAATATTCCTCTCTCATTCAGAGATGAAACTTCCTTTTAGGATGAGACGCAAGCAGTTTCCTATTACATTAGATTTTGCAATGACTATAAACAAGAGCCAAGGACAAACACTCGAAAAGGTTGGTTTGTATCTTCCAAGGCATGTATTACTCATGGGCAACTCTATGTTGCTGTGTCGAAGGTTACATCCAGAGAAGGTTTGAAGATCTTGATCACCGATAAAGACAAACACTCGAAAAGGTTGGTTTGTATCTTGAATGTTTGGTAGAAATTTAGTGTCTAGAGTTCAATACAAATTTAATTTCTAATGACGTTTTTCTTTTTTTAATAATCTTGGTATTTCATGTTTAACTGTATTCTGAGGTTTCAATGATAGGTTTAATTATATAAAACGTATTAACAAATCTTAAATGTTAGCATGTTATATATCATCAAGTTATCGTCAGTTTGTTTGGTGAACATTTCGAACTAACCACAAATAAAATCTCCAAAGACAAATTATCAAATTTCATAAAATTAAACATTAAGGTTCTTAAAAAAAAAAGGGAGACTATATATATAAATTGTTCATAAAAGAAAGGAGGCTTCATGTGAATTTCAATGACATTCCAGACCTCTTCCTTTTTCTCTTCTTCATCTCTCCCTTCGAACAGAAACATAGAAAATCTCATTTACATTTAAAAAATCATATAGCCTAGATTTGCATTCAATATTATTACTTAATCATGAGTGATGACTACAATTAAAATTTCAAAAACCAAACAACACCCACTGATTATAATCCAATCATATAGATTTCAACTTATTTTAATTTTTTATTACCAAAAAAATGACTAATTACTTACCCATTCAGATGTGTCCATGTTTCAAATTTCTCTCTCCACGAATCCGCAATGCATGCACTTCAATCCTATTTCCAGATCCAGAATCAGTTCGTGTTTCTGTATTATACAACGTGTTTGGGAAGTTTTATCAACTGAGATGTCTTTGTCCTACTCCAAAAAAAAAAAAAAATATATATATATATATATAAATTTTCACTTATGATCAAGACATATTTTATAAACCTTTAAACGGAGAGAATATATTACCTGTAGAGGATTTTGCTTGACTTTATCGTTTGATATGGTGAGGAGATGAAATTGTTCCCATAGCTCTGCTTGCTCGATCTCAGAATCTGTTGGCGAATGTGGGGACTTATGTTCCACCACACCGAATCTCATTATCAACGGTGGTGGGTTGATGATCAGCAGACCATTTTCAGTATTTTTTTTCACCAGTGTTTTCCATTTTGTTTAGATATTGTTAGAAACGATAAAACTATTTCGAAAATATTTTAAGGTATTCTTGAAGTATAACATCTGAAGTGTCTATTTATAGGGTGGGCAATAGTATTTACTTTTCCCAAATTTCAAGTTTTTTGGGGAAGACTACTAGACTTATTAATATATACACCTAACCGTTTGACTTTTCAGATTTTTCAATTTCATACAGTTTTAAGAATATTTCTTCGTGTAAATACATAAAATTGTAACATATGAGTTAACATAAATGTATTTATTTATTTATTATCGTCTAGCCTAAATATCTTATTTCCTAAAATATTGAAACATAACATTGTTTAAATAATTTTATTTAGAACAAGAGATCATATTGCCTATATGAAATGTTTAATATTTTAGTAAAATGGTATATTTACTTATTGAGATTGCGTGTATCTTTGGTGAATCTTAAAACATGGAATATATTCTCTCTGACACGTAAAACGAACAAATCGGTCAATATTGATATGGAAATATATTGACATCAATTAGTGGGATTGTTGTTGGTTTTGACAATAAATTGTCTTTAATGGTAACTGTTCAATGTTCCTTTTAATAATTAAGTAACAAATAATTTTTAAAGAGAGAAAAACTACATATTCAACTGCATCGTCTATCCCTTTTATTCTTTAAAACACTTTCTTTATCTTTCGTCTCTTTTGTTTTTCTCTCTATAATCCTCTTTTAGAACTTTCTATCAAAAAATGGGTTCTAATATGTCGGATATTGTCGATGTTGCATGTTTGGATACTTACAAAACATGGTGGACTATATCTGTCAAAGTGGTCAGGCTCTGGAAACATTCAACATTCAACGGAAATACTACCGAAATGGTTCTGTCTGATATCAAAGTGTGAGTTTTTTGTGAGTTTTTTCATTTTTATATGTTCAATATGTATTATTCACTGCTTATTTTTTTATTGTGATATTTTTTTAGGGCACTCGAATCGCTGCAACTATTATGTCCAACGAATTTCTGACTTATGGGAAAGAACTCAAACAGGGTCAGTGGTTCCGGATCTTTAATTTCATTGTTAAGGAAGCAACTGGATCAATCCTTACAACGATCAATAAGCATCTTATGGAGTTAACTTCGATCACTACTGTCACCCCTATCAGAACGAGGTCATACAATTTGTATCTCCACTACTTCCGATTTTATGATATTGTGGATCGAGCCATCCCTTTTGAGTATTTGATTGGTAAAAATTTCATCTTAAAATTTTTATAAGAATTAGTCCACTCTTATCGATTTGCATGGGGGATGTCTATACGTATGTGTTATTTTTATAATATATTTATATTCTCTTTTCGATTTTGATTACTATTATACGTTATGGGAACTATTGTGAAGATGGGTGAACTCTGCGATGCAAGCAACGACGCTTATGAAGAGAATCTCTCTTATCTTTGATTTGAGATAGTAGATGCTCGGTATTATGAATAATATCCTTTATTTTATATATAAAATACTATTGGCATGCAAATTCTTTACCAGGTATTTCATGTTTTTTTGCTATTGTTTTTCTTGTGACAGAAGGGAAGGTCGATTAACGTGTTTTGCCTGTGGTTCTTTAGAAAGGAATCTCTATAATGTATATCAGAGAAATTACTGTGAATCGGTCGTCTGGGTCTTAAGGTTCTGGAAGATGACAAATGGCCAAGGTATAGATATATTTATTCATAAGATGTCCTTATTAAATATTGATTCGTGATTAAGACCATTGTCTATTGGTGTTTAGGTATTGATAAGAACTCTGTGGTTCTCCGATCTAACCATCTTTGCTCAGACTTTTTGTATAATCCTATTGATAATGAGGTTGATGCATTCAAAGCCACGTGAGTACTTTTAATTTTTGGTTCTATAGATTATTGTTTGTATGTTTTTTTTTTGAATGAATAATTGTTTGTATGTTTGTAAAAACGTGTTGGTAATGAATGTTTTATAACTTTTGTAGGAGGAACCAAATCCGGAGCAGAGCATCGGCTGCCTAAACTTATCATTTCTAAACTTATCTTAAACTTATCATCTCTAAACGTATCTTAAATAATTGTTGTATTAAAGACTTTATCTTTCTATTTTCACTATTTCTTTTCTAGACTTTCGTAATCATATCTGTACTCTTTAAACTTGGATCAATGATATTATCTATTACTTTCATATGGTTTATATAATAATTATGATATGTATTAATGCTTTATATAACCCCTTTGATGTTTTATATTACATTTGTCTAGGTTTTATGTACTGTATATGCTTTTTATATGTTCGTATTGCTATGTTCGATGTCAGCCTAGGTTCTGTTACGGTTTAGGGTTTAAATATAGCCAAAATCATTGCTATCAACATTTTTTTCAAAAACCAATTAATAGTTGTTTGTCAGCTAAAATTTGATGTAAGAATTAAAATAAAAGAAAATATGGAATTGTTAGAAGTTGTATATATTTATAATTTGTCGGAGAAAAATAAAATTCTAAAATGAGATAGAGTATGAGAAATTCTAATGGTTAATGATTTATATTCAAATTTACGGTTGGTTTTGTTAACGGATTACTTGAAATCAAACAGTGGAAATACTTATGTCCCAATTGGTTCTAAAGCAATGATTATTATGGAATACGGAATCTCATCAATGTATACCATCACTGGAAAGATTTACCGACAGTCATCATAAATTATCAATAGACATCTACTTACAATTGTCTTTTCCAAGATTTCATAGAACTTTAAAAATAATTATAGTTATAAATTAATATTCTATAAATCAATATTCTATAAATTAATAATCAATGTAAATAATAAATTTTGCCGGTCCCAAGTCGGGCCAATGTTAAAATCCATCAAATTCGATAAGATAATAAGATAATAATTTTTTGGAAACTCCTATGTAAATATATGGTCTCAACAAAAACATAAATTAATAATTGTATAAATTTATGAAAATATATATGTACTATACTAAAATATGAGTAATGTATTTGTTTTTACTTAAAGTTAAAATTTCATTAGTGTTCATCTTTTTGCTTATTACATCTCTATCTCTTATTGTTGTTTTTTGATATACATTTAAATTTTTGAAAAAAAATTGATGTGATAATTAGTTTTCTTGTACGTAAATGTTTACAAATGTATTATAGTATTTTCTTCAATTTCATATTTTTGATAATAGATATAGTTTTTTGTAAATTTTGAACTTTAAAACGCATATATTTTTAATAGGCAAATTAATATGCTATTAAAAACTATTTTGTTATATTTTTTAATCATAATTTTTATTAAAACATTTGCTTAAATTTTTAAATACAACAATATTCGAAAGAATTTTTTAGAAAATTTTAGGCGAAAACCAGATTATCTTTATAAATTAATAATTATTAATTTATAGATAAATTAATATTATGATAAATTAATAAAATTTTATGGTCCCAATATTATTAATTTATAGAGGTTTTACTGTAGTTGGATAGTTTACAAGATGGGTTCGATCATATTTCAACACTATGGTTGTTCATGGAATAAATAACATTTTGATAGATGTCTAAATTTGCTTATGCTTAAATTCAGTTGGAATCAATAACATTTTCATGTATGTCTAAATTCCTTTATGTTTAAATTTATGTTTGCGTAAGAGGCTCAATATTGTTAAATTTATGTTTGCATAATAGGCCCATTAAATCCAAATTCATGTTTTTATATTACCTTATTAATCTTACCTTATTAATCAACCTCTAGAATAAATCATATTTTGGGTACTGGAATCCATAACAATAAAATTAATACAATCATGAGTTCCTTTGTTTAAAGAATTATCTCGACATGAAAACATAAATATATACATATATTTTTATTTGAAAAGAGAATATGCTTGAAGGGTATATCT